AACTTTACCTGTTAACTGTAATGCAGCACATGCCTTGCAAAGTCACCTCTATAGAACATCTAAATACTGGTTACCCTCCTTTTGGTGGATCTACTTTGGCAGTGAAACTGCTGCTAGCAGCTTTTGTAGTTACTCTAGAGGAGTCCTAATTTCTGTAATAAACACTCTACAGTGCCATCAAAGCATATCTTGGTCTCCTCTGCATTGACTATATCTTATGGCTCGAATTTGGATCGGTGCACATGAAGGAGGTTAAGAGGGATGATGTTACTGTGTCACTGAGGAGCAGTCTGGAGTTAACTCAGCCCCCAACCCAGCTGCTCTTTGGAGCACACTAAACCATCTGCCCTTTGGCAGGTTGCTAGGGCTTAGCCTCTTTTTACTCCTGATCCTCCATCCATGCCTGCGTACAACGACTTCCAGGTGCCTGGAGGATTATTGCCATGAACAAAGTGTCCTCTGGAGGCAAGAGATGAAACAGCAGACAGGTGCAGTAGCATTTTAAATAGGGGCAATGCTACTGAAACACATTACTAATATTTGCCTTTTTTTTAAAGAGAAAACTACTAGGAGCAGAGTTTGAGATTCTCCTTTTTGCTCCTAATTGCCTCATCTTCTGTGCTAGATACAAACTGCTAAGATGGAGATAAGATCCTCCTTCCTCTCTCATAAGTGATGTTGGCAAAATTGCCCAAACATCTCAATTTAAAAACAGTGAGAGATTTCTCCTGCTCACACTGCAACCTCTTTGTGAGGACACTTGCCTTAATAGTGGATCCCTCTAATAGAAGCAGATCTTCAGCACTGTATTAGTACATGAAATGCTGACCCCATCATAGTGTTTCTCCTCCTCCAAAGAGGACTGGGTGACCTGGACCTGAAAAGGGTGAGCGAATGTGACATCGCTGGTGATCTACAGCTTGGAGTGAAAACTTGCCCTGGAGATAGAGAGAAATGTAGCTGGATCATCTTCTAAACTATGATGAAACAAGAAAAAAGAAACATGTGATTTTGGGAAAAAAACCTCTCCATGAAAAGAGTTTCCCTCTGCATAAAAAAAATAAATAAATAAAAAAATAGAGAAAGTAGATGGTAGAGAGAATTACTTACCAACGTAGCACTTGGTACTACTGTGATTCTGGTGTAAAACAGTTCTACCAGCAAAAGGCACTGGAGAAAAACACTGAGATTGTGAAGGGCAAAACATTAATACTCCCTTCCTGATGTATGAAACTGTCTCTTTTCTGCTCCTACAACCAGGAGCTTCAGGTGGAAATGGAAGGAATATCCACCCGAAGAGCCCCAAACTAAAATCCTGCTAAGGCTTCCCTCGCCCCTGTGAGATTTGGGCAACCAAAGATGCTCCATCCTTCCTCTGCCTCTTCCTTCCCCGTGTCCAGCCAGAGGTATTTTAATGGCACCAATGGGCCTTGTGACCAGGCAGAATTTATATTAAACTATGTCAAGGATGCTCAGTGTTAGAGCCAAGCCCTTGACATTACTTGAACACAGGACCATGGAGGCAGCAAAAATTATTGCTGCACCTTTGCTTCCCTGAGGAATTGGGTTGAGTAACAGTAACAGTTGGCAGGCAAGTTAACCACAAACACTTGGCAAGAGGTGAAGAAACTGCAACTTTTGCAATTTTATTCCCTCTGTTTTCATCTCCGTGTCCAGAAGTTCACAGACACACCAAAAATTCAATTATCTTTTTTTTTTTTTTCCTACTGCAGAAACAGCTCACTTATAAAAATATATAGAGATTAAACAGCTATGTCATGGTATGCTTTTAAGGGGAATAATCTGTAGGCAAGTTTTCACATGCATGTATATAACTATAAGTGCACACTTCTGCACACTTCTGGATATCTGTATACTTGGACAGGGCTCTGAACAGCCTTTTCTAATTGAAGATGTCCTGCTAATTGCAGAAGGGTTGGACTAGATGACCTTTGAAAGGCCCCTTCTAATTCCAACTGTTCTATGATTCTACTTTAGAATTTAACATCAAAGAATTGAAAAAATTACATCACTAGTAACTAAACTGATGGATCAGTCAACAATTAAAATATTTCAGTTTAAATTTGACACTAAATGCTCTGCAAGACATGGTGCCATTTGCAGAGCTCTTGGTCAATTAATCATTCAAATCGGCAAATATATCGTTACCTATTATTAACTACATTATGTGTCACATTAAAACACTGAATGAACAATATTTGTTGACTGAAGTGAGGTGTAAAGTAAAATATGATCTAAAAAAACGATTTCATATCGTAGAATCAAAGAATGGCCTGAGACCTTAAAACTCACGTCATTCCAACCGCCCTGCCATGGGCAGGGACACCTTCCACTTTCCCAGGTTGCTCCAAGCCCCATCCAACCTGACCTTGGACACTTCCAGGGATGGGGCAGCCACAGCTTCTCTGGGCAACCTGTGCCAGGGCCTCACCACCCTCATAGAGCAAAATTTCTTCCTAATATCTAACTTGGTGAAACCCCACCTGCAGAGCTGCCTCCAGCTCTGGGCCCCCCAGGACAAGAAGATGTGGACCTGTTGGAGCGAGGCCAGAGGAGACCACCAGGGTGATCAGAGGGATGGAGAAGCTCAGCTACGAGGAAAGGCTGAAGGAATTGGGATTGTCCAGCAGGAGAAGAGGAGGCTTTGGTGTGACCTAATTTCAGCCTTTCGGTATCTGAAAGGAGCCTGCAAGAATGATGGGGAGAGACTACAAGGGCCTGGAGTGACAGGACAAGGGGGAATAGATTCAATCGGAAAGAGAGTTGGTTTATATTAGATATTAGGAAAACATTCTTCACTGTGAGGGTGGTGAGGCCCTGGCACAGGCTGCCCAGAGAAACTGTGGCTGCTCCATCCCTGGAAGTGTCCAAGGCCAGGTTGGACAGGGCTTGGAGCAACCTGGGCTAGTGGAAGGTGTCCCTGCCCATGGCAGGGGGTTGGAACAAGATGACCTTCCAAGCCAACCCATTCTGTGATTCTGTGATTCTATACTTATGGAACAGAGAATCAACTAACTGGGAGGGCAGAGGAACAGGCAGATGCTTCGCATTGCAATGGATTATGTTGCTCCTAAGCAGGGACAGTTCAACGTGTGTCTCAAGATGTTTGACACATACCATGGTGGGTTAACGGGTCTTACACAAACCAGGGTGTCACAAGAAGTGTTGCATGAATAACCTGGGATTTTCCAGAAAAAAATTTCGACAGATTGAGAGAGAAACCCTGTTTTACCATCGGGAAGCGAAAAGCAGCTTCTTTCTGGTTGGATTGGGTGCCACCGAAAAAAAGTGTAAGTTTTTGATTGGTTCAATGTATAGCTCAGAAGAGAAAGCAGTTTTCAGTGCCTTTTGCAAACACCTTATAAAAGAGGATTGCAGCCCCACAGCCAAAGTCCTCTGGAGGGAAGGGACCAAGAGCAGGTCTTTTTTGGCTTCTGGGCTCACCTGATACCTGGTAACATCTCAGTTCTTTTTAGTCTTTTTTTTTCAAAGTAAGCTTTTGTCTTTCCCTCAACAATCCAACCCCAAAATAAAACCCCAGACCTCTGCATTATTAACTTTAATTTGTATGTCAGTGAAAAAGGTAAATATAAGTTCTTTGAAAATTGGAAAGGTTGAATAAGTAGTTCAAATATGTACTAATGTCTAGATGGCTTTGATAAAAATACTCTGCCTACTAATTCATAGAGAAAACATCTGGCTGTGTCAGGTTCCTTTAGAGAGGTCTGTGGTCCAGAAAAATTGGTGGCCTCTTCAATGGAAATCTATCTCTATATATCTCTCTCCATTAAATATACATAATATTTTAATATTAAATATATTATAAATAATTATATAACAATAACACAATATATAATAAGTTTCATATTATATATTTATATTATATAATATATATTATATGTTTAATCTAGGCCTACGTTAAGAACTTTATTTGATTTTCAGAATTTTAACTTTATCTCCTTGTTTTTCCTGATATTTTCAAATATATAGACATTTGTGTAAACTTCTAATTTATGTAAACATTCTAATTATTTTTAAATAGTTTTGGACCACCTTCTATCAATTCTGTTTGCAGAAATATGACATTTCAGCACAATCTCAATTCCCTTCCTTGCTTAAGAGAACATAATTTGTGACAGATCAGAACATTCCCTAATGCCAAGATAAACAACATTAACTGCCACTTCTTTATCCATAAGTCCCTTCTTGGCCATATTATCCTAGTTTGCTAATAATAGTTTAAACTATTAACTCTTTTGATGAAAGCATAGTGTTTTCTTTTCAGATTTTATTTATCAAATAGGAACTGATTTGGTTGTACATTTCCATTCTAGAACTTCTGCCTTTAGACCAAGACTGAAGATTTTGACAAAAATCATTTATTCCAGCTGTTATGTCTTGACAAATTTTGATATTGCATAATGAATTAATTTTTTTTTCTGAACTTTATAAGTTTGCCTGTATCATCCCCTCATTTTGCCTATGTTGCTTATCAACTAGATAAAACATTTAGCTAAAAGTAAATTTATGATTGCAACCCTGAAAGTGTTAAAGGTCAAGTTAGATGGGTTTGGAGCAACATGGGATAGTGGAAGGTGTCCCTGCCCATGGCAGGGGGTTGGAACGAGATGATCTTTGAAGTCCCCTCCAACCCAAACCATTCTGGGGTTCTGTGATTCTCTTCTGGTTAAGATCTATTTTCGAAATGTGAAAGAATTGTGAGTAATCAACTTATTAAAGCAAGTTAATGATCACATGTCCTGAAAACACATTGCCCCACAAAGCACTCATGATGTCATATGGGTCTTACTGGTTATTTTTGAATGCTTGAAGAAAAAAAACCATATAGTCGCTTTTTTTTAATTAACATTAATTTTTTTAATTAGCTATTTGTATAGTTCAGGAGATTGCAGATCGCAGGGACTGTCTGTCAAACGTCGTTCTTGGTCATTTTCCCTACACAGGGGGAATCCACAGCCATGAAGATCCTTTATCTGCTCTTTTCTCTCCTCTTCTTGACACTCCAGATTTCTCCAGGTAAGATGGGAAAGAGATGCAAGAAAGGGGTTTTTGTGCACCTGAAGCAAAATTCCCAAGCACGTTTTAACCACTCCTGGTTAAAATTACTAGAATCCAAATAGGAATTAATCAAACAACTCAGCGCTGAAAACTTTTTCAAAGGCGGAGAAATTTCGACTTCTGAAGTCCTGACAGTTAGTCAGGAAGTCTGTCTCACTCTCCACCTGGACTTTAGGGCCATCCACTTCGATGCACTGTGAGCTGAGGATCCCACCTCTGGAAGGTGTAGACCTGCTTTGTAACCTCATCTCTCCCATGGCCTTTCAAAATGACCAAATCTGGGCCCCTTAAGGCAGCTTGGTGGCCGAGGCAGCTCCAGGGATGGAAAACCCTTCCACTGCATTGCCCTGCCCCGCAGAGCCAGAGGAAAGGAAACGTTTTGTTATTGTTGCAGGTTTGTCTTCACCCCGGAGGGAAATGTTTCTCTGTAGAAAAGGGACCTGTCACTCTGGAAGATGCCCCGTCCATCTGGTTAAAGTTGGAAGTTGCTTTGGGTTCCGCTCCTGCTGTAAATGGTGAGTTTCGTGTTCACCAAGGCACATCTGAAGCATGACAATATTATTTCCGTGTCCTAAATCCCAAGGGGTTACTGAGAATTTAAATTAAATATAAAGGGGAAAAAAAGATACGAGGACAGTCAAGTGTTACACCTTGAGTCAAGTGTTGCACGTTGTCCGAGAAGCTTTTGGACAAAGCTCTCAGGCACATGGTGGCATCATTGGGGTGTCCTGTGGAGGGTCTGGAGTTGGACTTGATGATCCTTGTGGGGTCTCTTCCAGCTCAGGATGTTCTATGATTGTATGAACGGTGCTGTTTCTCCTGAGATGTGCATCGTGCTCTGCTCCAGCAAGAAGGATAAAATACCATCAGAGTTGTCACCCCTTGTGTAGTCTCAGCTCTGTTTGATCCCTTTCCAGGTCCTGGCATTTCCAGAACTGGGTGGCTGTGCTGTGGGTGACCACAGGCGCCTGAGTGCCTTCAAGTGTGTGCAAAAAGAGCAACACCGTTGTACAAAGAAATTATGATGTGAAAAATAGCCTTCTATTTTCACTCAGGAATGAATTCATTCACCCCGATATCAATTCCCTGCTTTTCCTGAGGCGACAGGAAATATTTCTTACTCACAGGTGTGAGTGCACAGGGCTGTCCCAGAATGACTACACATATTATATATTTTGGAAAACACTTATACTCAAGAGGAAAATACACATAGATTGAGAGTAAATGGGGGGGGGGAACTATAAACAAAGAGAAAATCTGAATTTTTTTTTCTTTGTGCAGGCCTTGGGATGTACAAGACTTTAATGAACCAGACATTGAAGAGCAATGAAAATTTCTTCTAAACCTAGGAATTTACTCGGGATCTCCTTACTGCTGAAACCACTGGATCCTGCTGCAAAGCCTAACACACCTTTCACTTCCAATGCAAAAAGCTTTAGAGTAAATCCAAATGTATTCTGCACTGCTCCCCCTCCTCCTAAATAAACTTTGCATTGATATCACTGAAACAAGGGTGTCTGCTGCATGGGCTGAGGTCATGGTCCCACCTGGGTTTGACACACAAACCCCAGAGGGCAACAACTTACAGTGCCTCCTTATTTGGAGCTTTTCTGAACCATGATGATATCCAGGGCTAGACAGACATGGACTGAAGACCTTAACCTACAATGCCAAGAGTTAGGCTGGCTGGAAGAACTCAGCTTCCCTTTGTGGGACTGGGTTCAGATGGCAAAATCCTCTTTTTCTTACTGTGCAGAAATCTTTTCTTGGTAAACAGAAATAGTTGAAACCCCTCACTCC